CCCTTTTTTTTCTCCCCTTCCCTTTCCCCTTTTCCCCCCCCTTTTGTTTTTGCCCTTCCCCCCCCTTTTTAAAAATTTTTCCTTAAACCCCTTTTTCCCGGCCCTTTTTAATACCCGGGGTTTTCCGTTTTGCCCCGGGTTTTTTTCCCCCCTTTTCCAAAAATTTTTTTCAACTTTGGGAATGAATTTTTTTGGGGGGGACCTTGGGGGGCCCCCCCCTTTTTGGTTTGGAAACCCAAAACCTTTTGGGGAGGGTGTTTTTTTAAAAAACAAAAATTATTTTTGTTTAAGGGGGTTTTTTTTATCTTGGGGGGGCCCCCAGTTCGGGGTTTTTAAAAAAATTTTCCCTTTAAAAAAATTTCCCTTTTTTTGGGTGTTTAAAGTTTAAATTTTTCCCGTTTTGTTTAAATGAAGGGATTTTTCAATTTTAAAGGGGTTTACCTTCCTGAAAAATTTCAAATTTGTATTTATTCTTTAAATTTAAAAGTTTTAATTTTTTTCCTCTGTAAATTTTTTCCCTTGGGGGCAACTGGGGATGATTCCCCTTCAGGGTTTTTCCTCTGGGGGGTTTTTCTTGGATTTTTTCTTTCTGAAATGATTTAAACCCAGGATTTTTTTACACGTCTGTGAGTGTTTAAATTCGGGGTTTTTACAATTTTAAGGGTTTCCGGGGTTTTTTTGGGGGGTATTTTTTTTTGGGATTTTTTCTGGGGGGGTTTTAAAAGTCGTGGTGTTTTCCTTGTGGGTGATTTAAATTTTTAATGTTTAAATGTCGTGATATTTCATGTTTTTGGAGTGTTTAAAGGGTGTAGGGTTTTTTTGGGGGTATTTCTTTTTGGGGATAATTTTTTTTGGGTGGGTGTTTTTGTTTGGGTGTTTTTGGGTTTGTGGGTGGTTTAAATTTTGTAGGGTAAATTTTTCTGAGGGGAACAAGGTAAAGTGATTTAAAGCTTGGGATTTTTTAAAAGTTTAGGATTTTTTAAATTTCTGTGGGAAATTTTAAATTTTGGATGATTTAAAGCGTAAGGTTTTAAAAAGGGGGAGGGTTTTAAAGCGAGGATGATTTAAATTTGTAGGGGGGGCAGGAAGGATTTTTTCAACCCTTAGGAGAATTACAATTTTTAAAAAAACCCCTTAAAAACACCCCCACAAAACCTCAAAACAAGTGAGAAGTGTTTACAAGGGTTAATATTTCCCTTGTCCTGTAGATGTTTCCCTCGTCTGGATGTGTTAATTTTGGGGGATTCCTGTTTCTAATGTTTCTCCTTAGGTTCTAATTTTTTGGGGTTTGCTTGTTTTTTCCTTCTTAATGTTTAAAAATTCAATTTTTTTCTTACCAGTTAAATTTTAAACCCCTCGAAGGGGTTTTTTCCCCAGGAGGGTTCTCCCCAAGGACCCGGGTTTTCCCAAGCTTAGATTTTACAAGCCTTAGGAATTTAAAGGGTTCCGGGTTTAAGATTAACAATTTTAAAGGATTGGATTTCAAGCCTTGAATTTCAAGTTTAGTTTATAAAGCTGTGGTTTTTTTGGTGGTTACAAACCGAAAAGGAAAAAATTAATGTTTAATGTGTAAAAGATTTACAATTGAAGAGGGATTTAGCAATTTCTTTGGATCCGATCTTAGCAAATTTTAAAAGGCCTAAAATTTACAAATTAAATCATCTTAGTGATTTAAAGTTGTAGGAGGTATTTTGCGGGAGTGATTTAAAATGTCTGTAGGAGTGATTTACAATTCTGTGGGAGTGATTTACAAGTCTGTTAGGAGTGATTTAAATGTTGTGGAGTGATTTACAATGTCTGTAGGAGTGATTTACAACGTCTGTAGGAGTGATTTACAATGTCTGTAGGAGTGATTTACAATGTCTGTAGGAGTGATTTACAACGTCTGTAGGAGTGATTTACAACGTTGTAGGAATGATTTACTCTCACACCACCCATCTTTCCTCCCACCTCTTCGCTAGCCACAGAGTCATTCTTCCACCTGTTCTCCAGTCACCCACTCATCCACCTGCCCACCCGTCTACCCACCCATCCAGAGAGCTATTTAATTTACCTGGAGGGGGTTAGTGACCCTGATGGCTCCAGCCTTCATTTTATACTCCATCTCCCTGACACACCCCTCCTTGACCCACCCCTTCCCCTCCTTGACACACCCCTTCCCCTCCTTGACACACCCCTTCCCCTCCTTGCACACCCCCCACCCCTCCATGACACACCTTCTCCACCTCCCTGACACACCCCTCACCCCCTCCCTGACACAACCACCTCCCGATACGTGTATGACACTAACGTGACACTCTCATCCCATTTGGCAGCCTCTCTAGCCCTCATCCTCCCTGGCACCCTTCTTACTCTCCCTTAACATTCACTCTGACTCATCAGAAGGTTTATTTTACAGAGAAGATTTCAGATTCAAGAAGAAGACTTTAGGTTGCCAAGAGGAAAAGATTTAAGCTGGTACAGTGCGTCGAGTGTGGTGGGTAAGGCCTCAGCTCACCTCAGGAGAGGAGAGAAAGATTTATTAAGCTGGTACAGTGCGTCGAGTGTGGTGGGTAAGGCCTCAGCTCACCTCAGGAGAGGAGAGAAAGATTTATTAAGCTGGTACAAGTGCGTCGAGTGTGGTGGGTAAGGCCTCAGCTCACCTCAGGAGAAGAGGGTAAACACAGGATGTCAATACAACCAGAGCTCGCCCCGACATCACGCACGATACACATTATCCTTGATGCATTACCAGGCGGCAGCGGGCAGGGGCACGCACGGGGCCTCGGCAGCCAGCGTCCGTGGAGATACAGGGGCACACACGGGGCTGTAGCAACCAGCGTCCGTGGTGACACAGAGGCAAGCACGGGGCCCCTCAGCAGCTAACGTCCGTGGTGATACAGAATCTGAGAATATAGCACAGATTGCCTAAATCCCATTCCAGTGGATCTGAAACATAATGCCTCTTCTTGGATCCCATTCCAATAGATGTAGCACTGGCTACTTCCTCCTGGATCCCACTTAAATGAGAGTTATGAAGAAAGGTTTAAAGGATGGATGAATATCCTAAGTGTGGAAACAATGGATGGTTTGTCAATATAATAACTGAATAGTGAGAACAGAAAGGGAAGCAAAACGGAACCTTGCAGAACACCAGATTTGACAGGCAACTGAAGAAGGAGTTGCGACACATTATGCGTTGAGAGAGAGAGAGAGAGAGAGAGAGAGAGAGAGAGAGAGAGAGAGAGAGAGAGAGAGAGAGAAAGTCCCTCTCCAGTGTTTCAGAAGTGTACACAGAGAATCGTCCGTTCTATCAACACAGCAATCAGAGGCTGCAACTCCCTTCCCTTCCTCAGCTCAACTCACTCTCTTGTGGCAGCCCTCTTACAACCTCCCACCATGATACTAAAAAAAACCTTTCAATCCGTATTTTTTAAACCTTCTAGTGTCTTCCTTTGGCCCCGTTCTTCATCTCCTCTTCTCTGCTCCCCCTCTCTTCTACTCCGAATAGACACTGAAAACGACAAGTTGAAGAATGAGACACTGATTACCTCATTCTTCCCCTCATCTTTCATCGTTCTTCTCTGTATAGGACTAAAGAAGCCACTGGTTGGTGAAACGTTTCCTCAGTAAAGATTTCCAGTTAATAGATCCATCCAGATCTATTAACTGGATGGGCGAGTACGAAGATGCAGTTTCACCCTTTGGCTACGGAAACGGATTAAATATGCTAGACAGTGTAGATAGACACGTACAGACTCAGTAAATTCCGCGTGCCACTGTAGCAACGGGATCGTGTTCTTCTTGACTCACGAAATCTCATTAACACGATTGCAAAAAACTCACTAAACTGGTGGAGAATTAAAACTCATGGCATGTGAGCCTTAAAACTCACAGGTCAGCGAGTCTTGGGACTCATTTGCCATGAGTTTAAACCCCACCAGTTCCGTGATTTCATATATTTCTTACTTGAATAGTCTTGCCCTCTACAGTAGCTTCTGCACTGCGTCTTAAAAGCTTCCTGCTCTTAGGGCTGCTGTGCTCTGCGTCTTCATTAAAGAAAATATTGCCCCTTCGGAAGCTTGTGTACTGCGTCTTAAAGACGGTTTGCTTCTACAGCGGTTTCTGTAACGTCTTAAAGGACGCATTGCTGTTACAACTGACTCTTAAAATTAAAGACGTCTTGCCATTACAGCAGCTTGGGTACTGCGTCTTAAAGAAAGTATTGCCCTCTCGGCAGGCGTGTGCTTCTCCAAGGTGCTTCCAACACCACAGGACGCCTCACCCCTCCAGTGCGAGGGAAAAAAATGAGAAAAAATATGTATATCCAGCAACCAGAGTGACGCTGCATAACCTGGTCTCGCCTGTGTTGTCACAAGGTCCTGCTGGTGTTAGTGTCGCCTGACACCACCCTGTATGTCTTCTGACATCACTATGTGTATGTATTTTGGTTGAACAGACCTCGATCCACGACCAGGCCGCGGGTGCGTTGATTCCTGGGAACATCTTTTGGGTATCCTACAAGCATCCCTCAGGATGGGGATGCTTGATTTAGGGAATGACGTGCCTAGTTTGAGCCAGTAGGCCTACTGCTGTGTTCTTCCTTCTTATTCCTTAGGTATGGAGGCAGCCCTGCCGTATGACAGACCCTCACTCAATCCACCGTCATCTACACTGTCATTAAAATATTTCCAAAACGAGAGAATAATTTTCCTTTTGGCAAGGCACTATGTACGGTTGCTTTGTTTACAAGATGACACCAGGGGACCCAAGATTAGCATGATGCATTCGTATCCCTTCTTCAACAGGCACAACCATAACCATCTTCGGTTTTTTTTATGATATATTCACTTTATTGCGTTCAGGGAAAAGCATGTCGAGTGTTTCTCAATATCCTGCAACCTTGCTATCTCCCAAACTTGAGTTAAAATGAAACTATTAATGTCAGGGTGAAGCCTAAGTCGGCGGCCACACTTTCGAGAAAGTTAGCAAAAACAAATATGGCTGACGTGAGGCCTTAGTGTGAATAAGTTGTGTCTGCGGAAACTACAATAATACGCACCTCTCTCTAACTCTGAGCAATTTACTCTTTCCAAGAAGGTGCAGAAGAATGTACATGTGCATTAAAATACAGAGAGAGAATATTTTATTTGAAATCCGTGTGAACAAATCGGGTAGAAGTGTGTCAGAGCCGCTTTGTGCGAAGTTCAAACACCAGGTGAGGTGGTAAAGGTTCTTGATCCAAGGAACTAAGGTTACCTTTCCCTTCCATGGATCAAATCCGGTTTCCTTCCACCCTGTATGACCCCCTACGGGTTTTGCGTTTCCCCATAAATTAACAGAAACAACGATGCGGCAAACAAAGCTAGTTTTTATTGGACAACGTTTGTTGACTTTCTGTTCTCATCTTCAGTTCTACAAAAAGAAACATCCAGAATTACGAAAGTACAATCACTTAAGATTTTGTCCTAAATAAATAATATACAATTAAGAACACATGTTTGCAGGAGCTTTTGTAAATGCTTAATTAAGTTTGGCTTAAAATTGTAAATATGGAGACCGTCTGTGATTAAGTCCATGATTGAGGAGTAACTAACTTAGAGTATATACAGTGTCAGTGCATCACGCAGAAACAAGCGGGTACATACAGGGAAAGATCAGTCAGCAGGGAGTTGAACCCACTGCAGAGAGATTTGACAAGGTTCCCAAAATGACATTCCTATCCACTCTGCCACAAATGGTTCACAAGCCATGTTTTTTCCCCAGCCCGGACACATAAGTGAGTCTCAAGCATGGTTTCGAGTTATTTCAATGTCCTGTATATTCTTACCTCACAAGAGATTTTATATATAGTATATATACGCACATTCGTTGTCTACTGCAACGAGAATTGTATATGATGATTCCTTTGCAATACTGCGACAAGGCTTTTATGTACGAGAGTTCGTTGGCTATACTGCAGCGCAAATATACGAGGGGATCTTGCTATGAGGTGTAAAGAGGAATATATGCAAATATACTTGCATACGTCAGTATGCAGGACAAGGTGGCACCACTGTTGACATTCTCATTAGCTGGGCAGATGACAGTGTCTCGGTGATGCAGTAAATTTCTAAGCTAATCACATGTAGGTAATTCAGTGACGTAAATCTTCCTTTTGACGAATCACATGTCGGCATTTCAGAGACGTACCCTAATGCAGTTCTTTTCCTGACTAATCATAAAACGGCTATTTCAGTGACAGAAGCAAAACACTTTTCGCCCCCTACCAGTCACGCAGCATCTTGGACGCTGATTTCACTGTAAAGTTTACAAGTCTTAAGTTAGACAACAACGACTTAAATTATCTTTTTAACTCGAAGTTATCAGTTTTAGATTCTATTTTGGGCGTTCTAGTCTCTATTTTGACCCTTCTTGAGTATTTTGACCCCTCTAGAGTATTTTGACCTATAGTAACTTGACCGTTCTAGAGTATTTTGACCGTTCTAGAGTCTATTTTGACCGCTGTTTCAGTGAAACAGTCCAGACAGCTGTCTCTCCTGTCAGTCAAGCAGCCTCGTAGACGCAAATCTCGCTGAAAAAAATATTCCCAAGCCTCGCCTAGACAGGCTAAGTCCTTCATAACTCGTATTTATAGGTTCTAAAATCTATTTTGACGCGTTTCTTTGAATTTTGATCTATCAAGTGTTTGAAAGAAGTCTACCCCTTGTAAAAATTATAATCAATGGAAAAATAGATAATATAGAAAAGTAGGCAAGAAAAGACCGCATTGTACTGCATTTGTGTAAATTTTTCCTTCGTGTCGGTACTTTATACCGCTATCAAAGTAATTACAATAGAGAAACATACTGTAGTTGTTAATGCGTAGACAGGTATGGGTATAAGGACACGTTTCGCCCGGGGTTGAGGTTTATCAAGTGATTATAAAGTCAACATTAAAATGGTATAAAATACCGACAGATTGTTAGGTAAGACACATATGCAACAGTTAGGTATCTTTATTTCGAAACGTTTCGCCTACACAGTAGGCTTCTTCAGTCGAGTACAGAAAAGTTGATAGAAGCAGAAGATACTTGAAGACGATGTAATCAGTCCATCACCCTCAAAACTTTAAGGGTGATGGACTGATTACATCGTCTTCAAGTATCTTCTGCTTCTATCAACTTTTCTGTACTCGACTGAAGAAGCCTACTGTGTAGGCGAAACGTTTCGAAATAAAGATACCTAACTGTTGCATATGTGTCTTACCTAACGATTATAAAGTCAACTCGGAAGAAAACGGTGTCCCTGTGAAAGCTTTTGTATATTGTGGTTATATATCCTAGAGGAAGTTTAGATAAACCACCAAATGTATTCAGTATTTGAGAAATACTGCCTGAAGGGTATTCCAGGGATCAATGCCCCCGCGGCCCGGTCCACGACCAGGCCTCTCGGTGGATCAGGGCCTGATCAACGAGGCTGTTATGTACGAACCATAGCCCGGCTGATCCGGCCAAAAAAAATGCAAACGCTGGGACATTCTATTGGAAACGTTTTGGTCATGAGACTTGCCTAGGATGGGCCCATAGGCCCAGAGTCCCTTATGTATTTGTTCTCGGTCACTCCACTGCATATTTGGAAGGACCAAAGTCTCAAGACCGAAACGTTTCCTGTGAAATATCCTAGTATTTACGTTTTTTTTTTTTTTGTCTTTTTCTAGCCACTCTGTTCTGTTAGTGTGACTTATAAATGATCCAAATCTGACCGAAACGTCGATGTAAGTTCCTCCTCTGTCCTAAGTGCGTGTTGTGTGTTGTGTATATAAGATGCCCTCTTTGGAAAAGGTAAAGAGACCGGACATGTGATAACGATATGAGTTTGCAAAAAGGATGTGAAAACTTACACGAGGATTTCTTGGTGCCGGAAATGAGAGAGAGAGGGAAAAAAGAGAGTCGTAAATTTAAACTGGGAAAGAAGCAGTGTGGAGGGGAGAGTGGGAAATGCTTCTGCAGATGGTCGGTAGAGTTTCAGAATAGAAATTGTGCGTGCTTAGTTAAAAAAAGTTTGGGAACTTAGAAAAATTGATGCATAAAAGAGGGAAATAGTTTTGATAAACAAAAGAGAAAAATGACTTGATGCATAGAAGAGTGAAAATGGTTTGATGCATTTTTTTGAAAAGACTGGTTTCCACGAGATTAAGCTCCACACACACACATACACGGGACCAGGAGCTGTGAATCGACCCCTGCAACTACATATAGGTGAGTACACCCAAAAAAGGCTGTCTACCCACAAGTGTCTTAACAACTAGTTACTGCTATTATTACCACCACCACCACTACTACTACTACTACTACTACTACTATACTACTACTACTACTACTACTACTACACACACACACACACACATACACAATCTTTAGAGTGATGTAGTGGAGGAAGGATCTATACATAGCTTGAGCAGGTATGATAAAAGCTCTTGGAACAGAGAGAATGGACCCAGTAGCGATCAGCGAAGGGGGGCCAGGAGCTGTTAATCGACCCCTGCAACCACAAACAGGTGAGTACACACACACATACACACAAACACACACACACATACATACACACACGCACACATACATACACACACACACACACACACACACACACACACACACACACACACACACACACACACACACACACACACACACACATTCTAGTTCATTAACAACATGCTACTTAACTAGCCTCGTCTGCAGAACAACCCTCACTAATTGCTTACACAAACAGCCTAGTAAACTAGCCCTCCTGGAGGCTCACATAATTACTTCCAATAGGTAATCCAGAGTGTCTTTGTTTTGGCCGGGGTTACAATCTACGACCACAGTTCCTTTTTATAATTAAAAGGAAAGCGAACGGAGGTTTAACAATGCTAACTTGTATACAACACAATGCTAGGTTTTTAAGGTGCTAGAGACTTACCTTGTTGTGATTACCTTTCTGATTACCTTTTTTGTGATTTCTTTGTAATTACTTCTTTGTGATTTCCTTTTTTTGCGTGTGATTTCTTTGTACTTCGTACTTGTGATTATCTTTCTGCGATTATCTCTGTGTGAATACCTGTTTGTAATTAACATTATGATTACTTTTTTCTGATTATATTTTCGTCATTACTTAGCTGTGATTACATCTTTTGTGAATACTTCTCCGTGATTATTTGTATGTTGCAACATGGTGCCCGTCAAGGTGCGGATGATTTGATTCCAGGAACTGTAACTCTCCTTCCCTTCCTCGGATCGAACCTCATCACCTCCCATTCCCCAGGCACTCTAAGACCCTAATGAACATAATAATAATAATAATAATAATAATAATAATAATAATAATAATAATAATAATAAATATGTTGGTGTTTCCCATCTTTAATATTTTATATATATATATATATATATATATATATATATATATATATATATATATATATATATATATATATATATATATATATATATATATATATATATATATATATATATATATATATTTCAACAAACCGGCCGTATCCCACCAAGGCAGGGTGGCCCAAAAAGAAAAACAAAAGTTTCTCTTTTTAAATTTAGTAATTTATACAGGAGAAGGGGTTACTAGCCCCTTGCTCCTGGCATTTTAGTTGCCTCTTACAACACGCATAGGTTACAGAGGAAGAATTCTGTCCCACTTCCCCATGGAGATAAGAGGAAATAAACAAGAACAAGAACTAGAAAGAAAATAGAAGAAAACCCAGAGGGGTGTGTGTATATATATATGCTTGTACATGTATGTGTAGTGTGACCTAAGTGTAAGTAGAAGTAGCAAGACGTACCTGAAACCTTGCATGTGTATGAGACAAAAAATGGACATCAGCAATCCTACCATCATGTAAAACAATTACAGGCTTTCGTTTTACACTCACTTAGCAGGACGGTAGTACCTCCCTGGGCGGTTGCTGTCTACCAACCTACTACCTAGATATATATATATATATATATATATATATATATATATATATATATATATATATATATATATATATATATATATATATATATAAATATATATATATATATATTATATAAAATGTGATGCTGAGTTTGGACGATGAATTGCTTTTCAATAGGGGACCTGTTGATGTATTGGCGTTCCTGACTCTCAACCTAAAACGTAACTACATTATTCTCAATTTCTCATGAAGATGGAGAGAAACCATAGCACTTATCAAACTATGTTTTCAATAATGTATGTCTTTGTTTAATGATAAATTCTCCAAATGAGAGAGTACAGCATGGACAGCTCAGTCTCACCAGTGTTTTATACATATCATTTTGAATCTCATATACTTCCCAAACTCAAGCCTTCAGGTATATTATGGTTCCGACAGATAGGTGATGTATTTACTATAGTATCATTTATCAAATTCAAACTATAAACAGTGCTTGGAACAGCGCCTGGATCAACGCTTGGAATAACGCGTGGAACAGCGCCTGGAACAACGCCTGGAATTCACATCAGAATACCCACACACACACACACACCGCCTTTAACATAGATATCTTCAGCCATACTCCTCACAAGTGAAAACAAATAAGACACAGTTTCCAAGCTTTTCCTTGAGGATATGCAGTTCCATCTTTCTAGACCAGGAAAAAGAAAGTCACAACCCAGTTCTCAAAATTTGACTACCCCATTGCTTCATACATCAGGGCTAAGCAAGGCCAACGTAAACTGCTATAAAATCGAAAACACAACACATCAAAACGAAAGCAACAGTGTTTCTATGTTAGTCATTAAGGTGTTTCTGAGAAAAAAAAGTTACCAATCTCACATTTTCCCACTCAAACATTAAGCAACTGTTTCTCTAAGAATCACAAATAAGCCAGTGTCAGCCAAGACATAGAGAGTATACCAAATCCTGTGTAATTACTGTGGCTTAGTGAAGAGAAGAAAGGCACAATACCGTGAGTTTAACAATATACAGTTAACTCGCACATAGGAGAGAGAAGCTTATGACGACGTTTCGGTCCAACTTGGACCATTTAGAAAGTGTAAATGGTCCAAGTCCGGCCGAAACGTTGTCGTAAGCTTCTCTCTCTTATGTAAGGGTTGTGTAATGTGACTTAGTATGTATAGGAGAAACCGGCAGAGATCTTGGAATCTCGGAAACACCATCACTCAGTCAGGTACTGTCAAGTAACTTCTGCACTGTTCCATCACATTAAACATTCGCATCACACAGTCAACTGGGATGACATGAACATCATTTACAAGATGGAACACCCATCCTGCAAATGAAAACCAACTGAAACGACACTTAACTGAAACAATACCGACACTTAACTGAAGCAATACCGACACCTAACTGAAGCAATACCGACACTTAAGTGAAGCAATACCGACACTTAAGTGAAGCAATACCGACACTTAAGTGAAGCAATACCGACACTTAAGTGAAGCAATAACTAGAAACAGAATGATTAATGCAATGTTCCTCAGTTTGTTATAATACTTATAGCGTTTTGTTAGTGGGATGAATTGTAAAGGACCTACCTAGTATGGGCCAGCAGGCCTCCTGCAGTGTTCCTCCTTTCTTATGTTCTTATGTATATTCCAGCATGAGGGAGCCATCTGTAAACAACAGGGCTCTCTCCTGGACTCATTCATTCGTATCTGCTGAAGAGGACCTCAGCTGGAGGTCGAAATATACAGACTGCCATTCATTCTCGTTATTTTTTTTTTCGTTTCCTCGTGAAGACTTGCCTCTCCCAACACACACACACACACACACACACACACACACACACACACACACACACACACACACACACACACACACACACACACACACACACACACACACACACACACACACACACACACACGATCAGCTTAAGATAGACACCGATTTAAGAAAGTGGCCGAGACGGGGTCATAATTCTGCAGGCATATTGTAGTAGATTGCATAGCCAGGTCCACTTGGAGGTCCGGCCTGCCGCTTACCCCCACGATACCTATCTAGCGTCCTCCAGCACTAGAGTTAGGAGACCGCGGCCGCTTGACAGCAGTGAGTACACGCTGGAGTAAGGTCTTGACTGCTGGTGAGGTAACCTAGTGCTGCTGGTGGTGTTGTTGTTGAAGCAGCTGCTGGTAGTGTTGCTGTTCTTGCTGCTGGTATTGTTGTTGCAGCTGCTTCTGGTAGTGTTGCTGTTGTTGCTGCTGGTGTTGTTGCAGCTGCTTCTGGTAGTGTTGCTGTTGTTGCTGCTGGTGTTGTTGCAGCTGCTTCTGGTAGTGTTGTTGTTGTTGCTGCTGGTGTTGTTGCAGCTGCTTCTGGTAGTGTTGCTGTTGTTGCAGCTATTTCTGGTAGTGTTGCTGCTGTTGCTGTTGGTGTTGTTGCAGCTGCTTCTGGTAGTGTTGCTGCTGTTGCTGCTGGTGTTGTTGTTGCAGCTGCTTCTGGCAGTGTTGCTGCTGGTGTTGTTGTTGCAGCTGCTTCTGGTAGTGTTGCTGCTGGTGTTGTTGTTGCAGCTGCTTCTGGCAGTGTTGCTGCTATTGCTGCTGGTGTTGTTGCAGCTGCTTCTGGTAGTGTTGCTGTTGTTGCAGCTGTTTCTGGTAGTGTTGCTGCTGTTGCTGCTGGTGTTGTTGCAGCTGCTTCTGGTAGTGTTGCTGCTGTTGCTGCTGGTGTTGTTGTTGCAGCTGCTTCTGGTAGTGTTGCTGCTGTTGCTGCTGGTGTTGTTGTTGCAGCTGCTTCTGGTAGTGTTGCTGCTGTTGCTGCTGGTGTTGTTGCAGCTGCTTCTGGTAGTGTTACTGCTGGTGTTGTTGTTGCAGCTGCTTCTGGTAGTGTTGCTGCTGGTGTTGTTGTTGCAGCTGCTTCTGGTAGTGTTGCTGTTGTTGCAGCTGCTTCTGGTAGCGTTGCTGGTGTTATTGCTGCTGGTTTTGCTAGTGCTGCTGCTGGTGTTGCTGCTGCTTGTGGTACTGCAGTTGCTGTTGCTGCTGATGTTGTTATTGCTATTGTTGCTGTTATTGTTGCTGCTGCTGCTGCTGCCGTTGCTCCTTCAAGAGGTTACACTGATAGTGATGAGATTCTCTCTTATAATAATTATGATAATAATAGTAATAATAATAGTGCGCGCGTCCCTTGCGTGCATGTGTGCGAATATATGCGTGCCTTGCATGCACATGTGTGCGTGCCTGGCGTGCGTGTGTGGGTCGGCGCGTGCGGCTGTGTTGGCGTGTGAAGGGTGTGATT